TTACTGAGGGGGTCCTTGCTACAAGCTCACCCACGAAGGACGCCTCACTAGGAAGACCCATGCTCAGGATTCCTTGACACAAGCGTTCTTACTGATGAATGCTTACTCAAGGCGTCCTCACAATGTATTGCTCACCGAAGGGATTCTTTTTCAGGGTTCCAGGCCTCGTCCTCCTCCTCTCCCCTTTCCCTCTTCCGTTTGGGGGGGAACACAATAAAGAAATATAGGAACAATGCATCGGTTTCAAAATGGTGGCTTTCTTTTTTGTTGGCCCCCCACCCCACCCGCCACACCAGCAGCATCACTGCACTGGAAGGGGGGGCCACTGAAGCCCCTAGCGAATGTGTATGAATGTGCACATGGGTCCTGGCCGATCCTATTCGCGCACGAGGACACGTTGACGAAGCGGTAGCGGGTCCAATGCCCACAAGAATCGATTATGCATTTTAGCATGGGTGGGGGGATAGGCCAAGACCCACAGTTGTGCCCATATATAAATAAAAAGACTGCAGTGGCGCTTCGCGCCATGCACCTTGGTCCTTCAAATTTGGTATGCCGGCGAAATAGCAGGAAGGTCAAGCCGACAATTTAGCGATAACTCCTTGTTGCCTTTTCCGGCATCGCCGCTATAATAATATTATTCGTTATCGTTTCTCCATGCTTCTGTTTCCTTATTTTCGCCATACCCTGCGCACGCTCCCCATCCTCCTCAGCTCTTTTTTGCGGAGGCTCCTCCTTGGAGAGCCTCTGGGGGCCTCACAAAAAATGTTTCAGGCTTTCTTACGGCCATATGGAGGCCTCCTGGGCGTATTCTGGGGGCCTCCGGGGGCTTCCTCGGGCCACCCTGCCTCCAACCGCGGTCTCCCTGAACGACCGGGTCACGATCCGGAACGCTTCGGAGGGTGTCTTTGGGCCATCTTGGGCCGCCATGGGGCTCTCTGAGGGCCATCTTGGACCCGTGTTGTGCCGTTTGGGGGCTCTCTTGGACTGCCTGGAAGCCCTTTCGGATGGTTGTGGGGCGATTTTGGAGTCCCCCAGGCGGCTTCGAACGCCCAGAAGACCGCTGTCTTGGAGCGTCGGGAAGCCGAATAGAGGAGAACCGCAGACTTCACCAAAAACCAACAGAAAATCAATGATTTTTGCCTTGGGGGGCCTTCTTGGGAGTGCTCTTGGAGGCCTCTTTGGGGCCGTCCTGGAAGCCTCTTGGGCCATCTTGAGGTCACGTCGGCCACTCTTGGAGCGCTCTTGTGCTGTCTTGGGGGCCTCTGGGACGTCACCGATGACCCCCCTGATCGCCCTAGGTGTGCTGGGAAGGCTTGGCAAAACGCCCTGCGAGGCCCGGGGGCCGCTTCGAGGCCCGTCCGGAGGGCCCCAAAGCCCCAGGTCCCGGGAGTCCGGTTTTTGGGGGGGGGACGGGTTTTCCCCCCGCCCGGGCTTATACAAATATAGGAAGAGGAATAGGTGAAGCACGCTCGAACGACGATAATCGAACCTTTGCTTGTCTTCTCGGCATTTCGTGGGCCCCCACGAGCGCCCTTGTCGGAACAGCTGGGCCCGCCTACAAGTCCACCGCGAAGCGCATCCCTGGTCGATCTTGGCGCCGCGAACAAAATCGAGACGACCGTTTGTTCACCGCTGTTGCAGGCCCAAGGACCATTCAAGACAATCCGACACGAGAAACTGTTGCCGTGGAAAAAAAAGTTCTGAGGCCCACGGACAGAAGAGGGAGGAACCCTCGTTGCCATTGCTAGATCCGTTTCGAAACTCTGGGCAGACCGAACCCCTGGAGAGTTTTTTGGGACGCCTTTTGAGGGGCAAATCGGATCGGATCGAACCGCGCGCTGGACTGGTCCGAACCAGCACGGAGCGGGAACCCAACTGGATTGGCTACGCCAGGATGCAAAGCATCGTCATGTTCGGTGGCAAGTCATGTGAGCCTCCCATACCATGTTGCTGGCTCTTGCGGATCGACGCCAATCGACGCGAGCCGATGCCAATCGACGCCAAATCGAGGCTAACCGACCCTACGTCGGCGCATTCTAATCCACCATCAGACGCTAGCGCACGGGACTGGACTCTAAAGACTGGCACACTAGGAGATACAAAGCTCCCACGGTTTCCTCCTAAACGCCATGCAACCATCGGGTCGCACTAGATCGTAGCAACTAGAGACCTCCTAGATGGGGTCTGAGTAGTTGGTGTCAAAAATTCGCGTCGCATCGTCAATGCATCGCCGACGCATCGGCGATGCATCGGCGATGCATCGGGGACGTCGGCGACGCATCCGCGACGTCGGCGTGGGGAACATCGGGCTCCACATCGAGCCGCATCTCCGATGCGTCGGCGATGTGGTGCGATCCTCCGACCCCACCTACTCGCACCCCCTCCCGGAAGCCTAGTGGATCGTCGCAACACCAGACGCAAACTCCATGGACCCAGCCGGCCGGAATCGCTGCCACGCCAGATCGATCTAGGGGAACAAAAAGTGGCATAGACATGAAAGCTCGGAGGTCCGCGCGGATTTCTCGCATCGGCGCTGGACCCCCCTCCCTGGCGCGCGGAGCGCGCCAGGGGCTGCGCCGGAGGCGCAGCCGGGGGGCCCCAGCGCCGATGCGAGAAATCCGCGCGGACCTCAGAGTTTTTCATGTTTATGCCACATTTTGTTCCCCTGCGATCGGATCGAGCTGGGCCCGGGCCTCCAGCGGGAGCGTCTTCGGCGAGGCGCAGCTGCCGGCGCACGCCCCATGGGGCTGGAGAGCCGCCGAGGGCCGCCGCGAGAGCCCCAGGCCGGCAGGGCCCTGCCCGGCGACTGCAGGTCGGTCGGTGTTGGGCGCCCGAAACGGGTACGGAAAAAATGGGTACAGGGCAGTTTTGAATACATGGGGTTTTTCTAAAATCGCATTTTTATAATGGTTAATTTACGAATGAATGTATGCATGAACTCATCGTTGTTTTTAATACTAAGTCCCTGCATGTTTAATCAATGATCCGCACGCGGAGCATGTATTAAAAACGGCACTGTGCAATGCCCAACAACAGATGTTGTCCCTAACCAACAGCGGCCGCTGTTGGGCAGGCGGCCTTCTGTCTCGAATGGGCACAGGCCGCCGCGGCATGGACAGCGAGTCCTGTTCGAAATGAACAAGATCCGCTGTTGGGCATTGCGCCCATTCTTTCCGTGCCCATTTCGTTCGTGCAGATCGGTGGGTGGGATCTGCAGACTGACCGAGTCGAAATCAAAGTTCATTTCGGGCTGATCGCAGTGCGCCTGAGGCCACAATAGCCTCCCGTTGGCCAAATGGTGGTTGCATTTGGGGACTCCCTTGAGCCCGCCTCGGGTCCAAATCCCGGGCGAAAACATACATGGCGGGTCCTGGAAACCCTGAATCACAACATTGCTGGCTCTTTGGGGCGCATGCTTGACTCCCGCTGGCTTCCGCCGGCCTTCCGCCGGCGGAGGTGGCCTCGTTTCACTTCCGCCGCCTTCCGCCGACCTTCTGCCGCCCTCCGCCGAGGAGACGATGACAACTCCTTCTATCCTCGAAAGCGCAGCCGTTTCTTTAACGACTCACATGACAGCTCCACGTCTTCCAGTCGGGCCGCTGAAAGAAGAAACGCTAAATAAGGAACGAAGCCACTTCTTGGCCCTGTAAGCGCCTCCGTGCCCCAGGAGGGCAAGAGGAACAGCACTGGAGGAACCTAAGGAACATCGAGCCCCTTCCGAACCCAAAGTGTTCCTTATTTCAGCGTCTTGACTGTACCAGCAACTCCCAGCGGGGGCGATCGCAGGAGCAGCACGAGAAGCAGCACCGCTGGGGTGGGCGGGCGAGGCGCTTCGGAGCAGAGCGAGCTGAGACAACGATGGCTGAAAACTGGTCCCAGGCCTCCTCCTCCTCCTCTTCTCCTTCCTCCTCCTCCTCCTTCCTCCTACTCCTCCTCCTCCGTCCTTCCTCCTCCTCCTCTCCTCTCCTCCTCGTCCTCGTCCTCCTCCTCCTCCTTCTCCTCCTCCTCCTCCTCATCCTTCTTCCCCCCTTCCCAAACGCACCAGTTTTCCGCGCTGCGTCCGAGGCCCTCCGGGAGGCCCACTGCCGTTGTCTCCACTCGCCCTCCTTGGGCAGGGGGCGAGCGATGAGTGGCCGCGGGGAGCAGACGGGGGCCTGGGGAAACCCGACGATGGCCGTGCCGCTGCTCCCCAGACCTCTCCTCGGGGCGCGTGTTGCCAGGGAGTTCGAGGCGAGCCCAGCCGTGGCGACGAGGGCCTCCCAGGAAGCCCCCCGACAGGGCGACACAGAGGCCGAGGTAGCAGGGCAGATCGGTACATGCTCCTCCTCTGACGTCGTGATTTGTTCACGACGTGGAACACCAAAGAGGTCCACCGGTTTCTCATCCTGAATTGCTGGTCAACGGCCCCGAGGCCCGGAAGGGCCTCTGCGAGCCAAGAACTGCCAACACGCAAATCCGCCGTGTTCTTCTCATGGGCCGAGGGGGTCTTGGATTGGTACCTTTTCCCCCCCTGGGCCGCGGCGGCGGGCGGGCGCGAGGCGTGGGCGATTGAGCAAGGACTGATCGTCCTGGCATCCCCGTCGGCTTATCACGACATGTCCTTATAACATAAGAGTATAACAACCTGATCCATACTCGTAGAACCTGAAGCCGATGTGAGACAGCACAGTTGTCTCAGCCGGAAATGTTCTAATACAATTCCATACAAGCCGCAGAAGTTTCGTAGAACATTATTTGTTGGGCCCATCGTCTTTCAAATTTAACGCTGTTCGGAATCTTGCCACGACGCGTTCTTGCTCCTTGTGGCCAGTTCCAGAGTTCTGTCTGCACGCGGCTTCCTTCTTGACGCCATAGGTTGTTCGTGACGATCGCGACGATCTTCGCAATCATGTCACTGCTTGTATTATGTGTGCCTGAGTTGGCCAGGTGTCAGTCCCGGCCTTTAGGGAGACCAGGACGCTTCGCCACTGCTTGAGGCGGGGCGGTGGCTTCGCGGCCTCGCGCCGCCGTCGCCGCAGCGCCGGCTTCCGGCGAGCTCCCCAGACGAGACCGCGTAGGCGACGTGCGCGCCGCCCTCGACACGTGGGGGGGCGCCGCCCCCGCAGTACGATGTCGTCGTCACCGTCGTGCGTCGTCGTCGCCGTTCTCACCGTCCTCGTCGTCGTCCGTCGTCGTCCGCCGCAGTCGCCACTCGTCGTTGTCGTCGAACTCGTCGTTTGCTCCTGCCCCCCCTCCTCCTCATCCTCCTCCACCTTCCCCTCCTCTTGCCGCCTCCCGCCTCGATTCTTCTCCTCCTCCCCCTGCCTCCGTCTCTCTGCCTCCTGCTCCTGCTCCTCCCCGTGCCTTCCAGACGTCGCAGCACAGAGCTCACGACGCTCCCTTTGCTCGCGAACCGTGCCTCTGGAAGCCCGCTATCGGGCCCCGTCCAGGGCCGTCAGAGAACGACCCGCCCCGAAAACGGACCCCGTGCAAGCGAGTCACGGCGCGGGAGGTCTGCGACCCCTGGCTTCGGGAGCGGCGGATTCCGGGGCACGAAGGCCGCACCTCTTCCACGACGTGCGCTCTCGCCGCGGCTTCGCGCCCTGGGGCCTTCGCGGCATCGACCCAGCGCGAGGAGTGCCTGAGAAAGGTGGGGTCCAGGGCGTGTGGGGGAGAGAAGGGTTAGAGATCGAAGCCTAACAGGGGATATGCCGACCCCTACTCCCAGGCTTCGTGGGACTTTCGTATGGACCAGAAATTTGGGGCCCACCCCTGGGACATGCGATGGGGGGGCTTCTATCCTCGATAGCGGTGCGCCCGAATAGCCCCCTTGGGGTGCATCCTGGGGCTTCCGCAGCGGCCAAACTTTTTTCGGGCGGACCTCGGGGATTGGGGGAGACAATCGCCTGCGAAACCCTGCCGAGATCCGGTGTGTGCAGGCCTCTGGTCGTGATCCCCTGCGGTGCTGCAGATCCCGGGGTGGCACGCTGGCTTGGCCGGGCGGGCCACGAGGGCGAATCCGCCGACTCACCAAGAACCCCCACCCGACGTCGGGATTGTTCAACACCGCGGACACCCAAAGGACTGGGCCCCTTCCTCGGGGCCGGCTTCTCATCGCGAGCCGTTCCATGACGCTCCTGGGGCCCAGTGCTGGAAGGGCTCTCCCGTCGTGAATCCCACCAGCCCTCTGGGCGTGAGTGGCTTAAGGATTATTTTTCTTCCACCGGCCCTTCTTTTCTTTCGGGGCAGGTTCATCATTCATCCTTATTAGTATACATCCCCTCCCCCACACGACTTTGGGCCGACCCGAGACATGCCCACTCCCCACCCCACCAGCCCTGTTTAAAAAAAACAATACAGAATGCATCTTGCCTCCAAATCTGGAGAATGTGTGGGCGCCCCCGCGACCACTTCGCATAGGTTTATGACAAGGTCGGCGGTGGTGCCGTCATATTGCTCGCTGCGCGCAGGCCGACCATTCCTGTCAAGAAACAATAATTACAGAATTCACTTTGCCTCTGCATCTGGAGCATGCGCGGGCGCCCCGCGACTACTTCGCATGGATTTTTGACAAGAATGGCAGGGGTGCCAGCATATTGCGTAAACGTGAAACACGTGCCGCACGCGCTCCTGAGCAACATGCTGAGACTCCCATCGGGTGTTACTTAATGTGTTGGCAGGGCGGGTGGGAGTGAGCGAGACGGCTTGCGGGCGAAGGGGGGGCATCGACCCCTGGGTCTGGGGGTTTGGGGGGGCGGCGGGTCGTTGGAGCGTCCAAGATGGCCTCGGCGCGGAAGCCGAAACCATGGATTGTATTATGGTGTTGGCCATATGTTGGCATCCTTGGGGGGGGGGGGGGCCCAGTGGGGTCTTTGATCGATCTCCTCCATGATGGCCGAAGGATGGCCCCAAGGCTCCCAAGGGTGCCCCCAAGACGCCCCAAGAGACCTCGGCGAGAATGCCAACATAATTGATGTATCAAAGGCTTTGTCACATTCTGGCCTCCTGGGGGGGAACCCTGATTAAGTTGATCGATGTCCACCTAGATTCTAGATGGCCCCCGAGGCTCCCAAGGGTGCCCCAAGAGGGCCCAAGAGTTGCACAGGAGGGCCCCAAGAGGCCCCCAAGAGCCCAATAGCCCCCCAAGCAAGAGACCCCCAAGAAGCCCCACGAGGGCCCCACGAGGCCCTCGAGACCCCCCAGGAGGCCTCGGCGAGAAGGCCGAAACTAATGATTCTACAAAGGTGGTGGTCACATCTTGGCCTCCTGGGGGGGGGGGGGCTTAGCTAAGAGAGAGCGCACCCGTGGACCACTTCTGAAGAGAGGTTGGGAAACTGCTCCCCCTCCCCCCCTTTTCGCGCTCCAGAAGCTAACCGCCCCTGCCCCTCCCTTTCCAGAAGGAGGGGGGGGCTTAGCTCCCCCCGCCCCCCCCCTCTGAATCCCCGCTGCCGGAAGCCCCACTCCACCCCCTTTCCCTTCACCACCTTCCTTCCACTTTGCCACTTTGCGGAAGCTACTCCCCCCCCTCCTCCAATTTCGCGCTCCAGAACGGGGGGCGTATCTACCTCCTCTTCGGACCCACCCACCCCTGCTGAACCCCCCCCCCTCCTCCCACAGGGCGGGGGGGGGCTTGCAAGCTCCCTCCCTCGTTTCTTTGGCTCAGGGAAGGGGCGCCGAAAAAGATCAGGGGCGACGAAAACCAACAGAGCCCCAAACACCAAAGGGCCACTGAGAACCAAAATGACGCTGAAAACCAGAGGCGCGCCGAAAACCGAAGGGGCGCCGAACACAATAAAAAGGCGAAGAAAACCAGCGGGGCGCCGAAAACCAAATACGCACCGAAAACCACAAGAGTGCCGACGAAAACCAGAGCGGCGCCGAAAACAAAAAGGGCGCCGAAAACCAAAAGGGCGCCGAGAACCCAAAGGGCGCCGTAAACCAAGAGGGCCGCCTAAAACCAAAACGGCGCCGAAAAGCAAAGGGCTGGAAAACCACCGAGACCATACGAGATCGCCCGAACACCTTGAGCCTCGAGCCCGAAACTCCCCCAGAAGGCTGGACCCCTTCCCGGGGTCGATGCGCCTCCTCTGAGCCTCATCAAGCCCCCCCCCCATGACGCGTGGAAACGACAACTCATTTGTTGTCCGTTTTCATTTTGTTTTTTCCCTAATTCTGGCACTGTTTTGTTTCCGGTTCTGCCTGTCACAATTTCTGTTCCAAGTCTGGCTCAAACCCCAACCCCGGGATCAGTTGGGTCTGTTGGTCGGCGAACCGTTTTCTCTCCTGTTTTTTTTATCTTGAAGAAAATCAGTTTTTGGACTGTGTCGTTCTCAAGATCAGAACTTTCAGAATCGGCTGGGGAAAAACCCTGCCCCTCCCAAGAACCGCTAAGGCGTGGCGGCCTGCTCCGCGTGCCACCCGCTGTACCGCACGGCCAACTCTCGCCCCGCCGGCACGGTCTCGCCGGGCCCGATCGGCGTCGAGTTGCCAGGCGCCCACAGCTCGAGGATCCCTGGCACCTCTCTCTGGGGCCCCTGCCACCGCCGGCGCCGCCGTCCTCATCCCTCGCCAGATCTCGGCATGAATCAGACGAGGCTGATCTTGTTTCGTCGTTGTCGGTTTCAGGCGACATTTCTTTAGCTGGCGAATCTGCTTGCATATAGGGGGGTGGGTGGCGCGAAAAGAAATCGGAGCCTCACGCAAGTAGAAACTCGCTTACACGCCTTTTCGGCCCAGCGCGGCTTGAAACGGCGGCAGAGGGGAGGGAGAAGGGGGAATGCCATGCAGGTAACCCGGCCCGCGTCTGAAGAAAAACAGCCTCTTTGGGGGGCCCTTAGCGGGCCCTGGGACAATCAAAAACAAAATTCAGCACGAAAAGCCGTCCCTGGGAAAAAAGGTCTGGACTTCTGGAGACCCCACACATTGTGTCTCCAGCTCCTCCCTCATCGCTCCATCCTGCTGTCCTGCCTGAGATCTGGGCGTCGCAACTTTTCCACGCGGGGCGCTGTCGCTCGGCTCTGGGCCCTGGGGCCCTCGCGGGTGGATCCAGCCTGAGACAGAAAGCCTGCCAGATGGGGTCCAAGGCTCTGGTCGTGATTTCTGACAATGCTGCAACTGCTTGAAGACGTCTGATCACAGAATTCTGCGCTCGAGAAGTGGCCACAATGATGTGAGCCGCGAGCATCAGAAAAAATCAAGGGCACCTTTCAACCACTAGGGTTGTTCTTGACCATCGTGCCGGCTGTAAGTGACTTCCTCGTCGCACCACCAGGCGCCACGAGGCGCCTCTCGTAGGGCAGCTGGGCGTGTGGCATCAGACTTCCTCACGATGTCTGGGTCAGAATCTTGAAACGTCCAATAGCTTGTGGAGGGCAAAATCAGTCAACATCAAATTGAGGCATCGATTCGGATCGAAATGTGAATCGGATCGGGGCGCATCGGTACCAAGACAAAATCGAGTCGGATCGCCTGCGTCAAGATGCACAACAATATCATATCAGCATCTGGCCGCATCGGCTCGGCGAAGCATTTGAACCGAATCAGTTCGGGCCAGCGGGGATCGGCATCGAATGGGACCGATCATCGAAGGGCGGGTGGTTTTCAAAATGAGTGTTTTTTTTATCACAGCACCGCGAAGATTTAGCGTGCGCTCTTGCAATAACTACGCGGGTGGCGAATACGTTGTTAAACTTGTGGCTCACACCTTAGAATGGCACACGTCCGTCTTCAAACGACGCAGCAACAGCACGAATGTAATGCGGTTCCTTTTCAACAGATGGCTCTCGCATGACACTTCCCCATGCCACCATGTCTGATGTTACAAAACCTTAAGCGGTGCAATCATTACACGGACAGAAGTCGGCTCAGTTTTGAAGGACTCTGTATACATATGCTACTCGCAAGTCTTAGCACTGCATGAATGTATGAAATATTGGTCGATTGAGTCGTGGCAGCTCGATAACGAGGTGACTATCGCAAGACATTGTCATTCATCATGCGTGTTTACGTGTCTGGACGCTGCAAGGATGGAGGATGTCTCGTTCTCGGGATGGACTCTGGTCTATATGGCATACCCGTCTGGGCGCACCGGGTAGGCGCTTCAGCCGACTCCGAATGAGGCACCTTGGGACCAAAGGGTGCCATGCCGCATTGCAACATTGGTGGTGTATGATGACGCTTGCCCTCCTGACCAAGACTATCCTGATCCTCCGCCTCGAGCCCCTCCCGATGCTGCTGCTGCTCGTCGTTGCCGTCGGCGTCGCCGTCTTCCTGATCGTCGTCGTCCTCCTCCTCCTCCTCCTCCTCCTCCTCCTCCTCCTCTTCCTCCCCCCCGTCCTCCTCCTCCTCCTGCGCAAGGCCGCGGATTTCGCCGCGGAAAGTTGTCGATGTCTCCTGGGGCACGGAGGCAGATCTGCGAGAAGAAAGCCCCTACCCATCCGTCCCCTCCTCACGACGCCCCTCTCCCTCCCTCTAGCTGCGGGTGGGCCCAGGTGCATCGGAAGGAAACGCGCCCACGATCAGGAGGCGGAGGAGGAGAGGGACTGAGAGAACGGAAGGGAGAGATGGAGGAAGGAAGGAGGAGGACGCCGAGGAGAAAGGGCGGGAGGGAGGAGGGGGAGGGGGCGGTGGGGAGGAGGTGGAAGGAGGGCGGAAGAAGAACTACATGCTGAAAAGGAACCGCCCTCCGTCCTCGAACCCGCTGCTCGAAGGCGACACAGGATCGGGAAGAGGATGGGGAGGAGGGGGAGGGGGGCGGGAGAGGGGGTGCACCTCGGAGGGGAACACGCCCATGATCGGCGGAGCCGCTGCGCCGTCGGCGGTGCTGACCAGGGCCACCCCCTTGTCGCAGCCCTCGTCCATCAGGGCCGCGGGGCCCGGCCTGCGCCGGGCCTTCCCCGTCGGGCCCGGGCCCTGCGCCGCCCCGGCTGCTGCCGAGGAGGGGCGACGAATAGTGCGGGCGGCGACGGCCGCTCCAGTGTGCTGGGCGGATTTTCCACCATCACGACCATAGTCAGGAGGGGGAGGAGGAGGAGGAGGAGGAGGAGGAGGAGGAGGAGGAGGAGGAGGAGGAGGAGGAGGAGGAGGACCTCCTTATCCTTCCTGCTCCCCCGTCCTAGCTATGGTAGCGGTGGTGGAAAATTGGCCCATCACAGTGGAGTGACACGGAACGTCGGAGGAGGGCCAGTCGACAAAACACGCGGACCTCCCTGGCGTTCTTCCCGTTCTGTGGGGGCATTCTGGAGGCTTCTCGTCGTCCTGGCTGGATCCGCCTCGAGAGACCGATAGGGAGGACTGACCCTGGGAGGACTCTGGGAACGGAATTTGAGCGGACTATGGCCAGGCGGGAGGGCCGCTGCTGTCTCAACTGGCACTCCTCCGACAATGTCAAAGCACAAAGCTGTTCGAAAAATACAGGGGTGCCACGCACTTCTGACAAAACCCATCCTGATCCTCAAGCTCCTCCTCCTCCTCCTCCTCCTCCTCCTCCTCCTCCTCCCAGGAGGACGAGGGGTACGTGGAGAATGCACGCCGGAAGGAGGGCATCGAGTCACGAGGAGGGCGTGGCGGGCGAGGAGGGGGAGGAGAACAAACGCATGCACGCGCGAACTGTCCTCAGGACAGGAATGGGCCGACTCGCGGCCTACGCGAAAAGGTCCTGGCCGCTCACCTGATCAGCCTCGGAACTCTCCCGTGGTGTGACCCGGGAGGGGGAGGAAGAAGAGGAGGACGGTCACGAGCAGCAGTAGGAGGAGAAGGTGAGTTCAAGAACCACAAGCCAGCCTCTGAGGGCAAGATGAGTAAATCTTTGAACGGCCAAATGTAGTAACGGGGGGTATGTCGAACCCTATCCCAGGCTTCGTGGTGTTCTCGAATGGAGCAGAAATCTGAGGCACAACCCTGGGATATACGATGGGGGGGCGTCCATCCTCGATAGCGGTGCGTCGGAATAGCCCCAGTTGGGGTGTATCCCAGGGCCCCCCTCCTTTTCTGAGCAGCTTTACTTTTCGTCGAAAAGTAGGGGGGTCGGTGAAAAACGCCGCCTGCGAACAGAAATGTTCGAGAGGCCCAACATCGCTGGAGCCACGTCTCTCCACATCCCGCGAATCACGCGGCCGCGCACCGCGAGGCCTAACTCCTTTTGGTCCTCCTCCGTCGCCCCCTCCTACTGCCGCCGCCCCTCCGGACGACGCAGACAGATCGCCACAAGCATGTAGTCGCGAACGGGCAACCAAAAACATGAGCACCTTAGCCCAATGTCCAAAAATCGAAGAGCACTCCAAGCCCGGACGGCCCAAACCCGAACAAAATGAGGGTGCCCTTCCAAAGCTGGGGCCGTTCAAAATCCTCGTGCCAGCTGTACGATGTCCGAGGTCTGCGCGGATAGAGATCCGCGCGGACCACTGGAAGTCTATCAGGCTTGTGCCTTCCTTCGTCTTCGCCTTCCCCCAGTCCTTCAGCCGATGTTCCTTGTCGCTCCCCCTCATGCATACAATCATCGTTCTACAAGAAGGAGCGCTGAATGCAGAACGAATAGGGCTCCTCTGGCCGAGGCGTAAAAATTGTCGGTCACGAGTGGGTCCCCCGACCTAGATCTAAGCACGGGAGCGCGGAAACACGCCTGCACATGGGCACTGTCTAGGGTGCTGCGGGTGCGGCGCCCAGGCGCCGGAGTGTCAGAAAGCGAGGCCTGCCCGTGAAGTTGGAGATCATGCCCTTGAGTCTGGAAGTCGAAAGCTGGAGGTGGAAGCCTGAATGGTGGTGCCTGGCGCTGATTGCTGTGAGTCTGAAGCTGAAGGCTGGGGGTCGGCCGCACGATGCGAGAGGTCGATCGGTGGAGGTCGAGACCCAGATACGAAGAGCGGCCCAAACACCAGAGCCCCTCCTGAGCCCAAGGCGGTCCTTATGTCAGCGCATGGACTGCACCTCTTCCTGGGCAAACCGCAGGCGCTCGCAGGCAGGAGGCGCCATCTTGACCCTACCACCTCCTCCTCCTTAACCAATCCTCCTCCTCCTCTTCCTCCTCCTCCTACTTCTCATCCTTCTCCTTGACTCCACCTTCTCCTCCTCCTCCTCGTCGTCGTCCTCCTCCTCCTCCTCCTCCTCTACCTTCTCCTTTTCCTTGGCTTTCTCCTCCTCCTCCTTTTTCCTTGACGCGGCGCCAGCACGTCTAACTGCTGGGCGTTCGCTGGCAGGCAGGCGAACACAAACATTAACGAATATTATAAAAAGGGCGCCGTGGCACTGCCAACGACTCAGCCGTCCGAGGGGGTCGCCCACGAGGGTGCGACTTTGCCCCGACGACCCAGAGTGGACGCTCACGGAGGATCTTTTCCGCGGGTCCCAAGGCGGGCGCGCGGGCTCGGCGCGCGAGACGCCTCTGCCTCCTCCTTGACCATTTACTTCCTCCAACCTTCCCTGCATCGGCATCCTCGGGCCCCCGGCAACTTGGCAAAAAGCGCCACTTGCCACGCCCCAGGGCTGCGACGCCTTCAAGTCTGCTGGTGGCTGCTCCCATAGAGGCCTCCCAGATGGGGTCCGAATAGACGCGGTGGGAGGATCGCGCCGAATCGCCGATGTATCGCCGATTCATCGGCGACGCCGGTGATGCATCGGCGCCGTCGGCGTGGATGAAGTCGGGTTCCACATCGAGACGGATCGGCGATGCATCGGCGTACCGGCGCGATCCTCCGACCTCCTCTGCTCGGACCCCATTTGGGAGGCCCAGGTTGAGCAAACACCGACCGCCGTGGCATTCCGATTGGCTTACCACGTGATGCTCTTAGAACAAATTTATCTTGAGAACCAAGACGATGTCTGTAGACCGTAAGGACGGTGAATGAACACAATGTGGTCTTAGCCATCAGTATGCTAGGAACGTTCCGTGCCAACCTCAAAAGATCCTCGGGACACTCTCAGGTGGGCCTACAAGCAGGTCAGGCCGCTTCGTCTGCTTGACTCGATCCTATGAGCCAAGCCACCTGACGACTTCCCACCCCCGAAAGGACTCGCAGAGTCTTCCATCGGCGGCGATCGAGATAGGGAAGAGGGAAATCTCAGATAGCGGCATGGCTTCTCAGAAGCCCTCCGGCCTTGTGAACAGTTTTTTTTTTTTTTTTTTTTTTTTTTTTTCTCTCTCTCTCTCTCTCTTTCTTTCTTTCTTTCTCTCTCTCTCTCTCGCTTTCCTTCTCTCTCTCTCTCTCTCTTTCCGGCGAAGACTCAGACAACTTCCCAGAAGGCTGGGGGGCTTCCGAGCCTTCTGGGAAGGCCTGCCCCTTCTCACCCCCTTCTCGGCCTCGCCGCCGATTCCAGGCCCGCTGCCGTCCTGGGCCCCCCCACGGCGACGCGGCGGCTGGCGGCAACCCCCGGTCATAGTCCGGCCATGCGGCCCCGCGCACCGCGCAGGCGCCCAGCGGCAGAAGGTCGCGCCAGGAGGCTGGGCGCGGACGCCGGCCTGCCCGCCCGAAGCGCGCGATGTCGTCCGCCGTCCGCGCCCGCCGCCGCCGCCGTCGTCGTCGCAAGCCGATGCCGTCGTCGGCCGTCGTGTGCCGCCGCCGTCCCCGTCCTCGTCCGCCGTCGTCGTCGCCTGTCATCCGCCGTCGTCGTGGTCGTCGTCGTCGTCGTCGTCGTCGTCGTCGTCGTCGTCGTCGTCGTCGTTGTGGTCGTCGTCGGAATCGTCGTCGGAATCGGCGTCGGCGTCGGAATCGGCGTGGGCGTCGGCGTCGGAATCGGCGTGGGCGTCGGCGTCGGCGACGACGTCGGCGTCGGCGTCGGCGTCGGCGTCGGCGTCGGCCTCAACCGCCGCCATCGTCGTCGTGTGGTCGCTCGTGTCGTCGTCCGTCGCCCGTCGTCCTCGCCCGCATGCGTCGCGGTCGCCGTCCCCCTCAACCTCCTCCCCACCCGTCCCATCTCCGTCTTCCCCCCCGCCCCCCTGATGGTTCTCCCTGTCTCCATCCCTTCACCTGCTCTCAGAAGACGGAGCAGGAGCATGAGGCGCCCGGGGTTGCCCCAGAGCTCCTCGGGAGCTGCCCGGGCCCCCTTTTGCGCGGCGCTGGGGGGCGCCGGGCTGTCCCTTGCAGCCAATCGTATGTTCTTCTCGGCTGCACATAAGAACGACCAGTCGCCGGGATGACCTTTGGTGCGGGCCCACGATGTGTGTAAACGGTGGACCCACACGCGCAATTACACAGTTGAAGACACGAGCTATGTGCACATATCACAGCTGTGCAGGTCGGAAAGGAAGACGCTCGCCACCTCGAAAGTACCCCTACTTTGCCAAACCAGGACGGAGGTCGACGCACCCAGCTGGGATGGAGTGCGACTGCACATCTCCCTGGCCCAGAGCGGCCCCTTGGGACTGCAATGCACGCGTCCCTAGCTCAGGGCGGCCACCGTGGAACGCGGCGCCATGGCTGCCCCCAATGGCCCCAAGACGTCCCAAGAGAGGCCCCGAGGGACCACCCAAGAGGGCCCGACACCAGTCCGACAACATGCCCGATGTCACATGTCCGGAAGTCTGGGCAAATGTAGTTCGAAGCGTCGCCGTTCGGACCGCTGCGCTGGCACGGTGGCGGATCCTGCCGCAGGCACCAACGACTGTATATGTTAGCGCTACGACTGTGTGTTGGCGGCCGGTGCCGCTCGCGCTTGGAGTGCGCCCCGGACGTTTGCATTGGCCACGCCTTCTACTTGGCTGGTTAGCTGTGGTCGGATATCGAAAATGAATTGCAATGCGAACGCGGGCGCGCGGCCCCATATTTTACCTTTCTTGTTGGAACAATGGCGGAGGAAAAGGTGGGACGACGGATCGCAGAGCACTGCAAAGAGGAGGAGCGACG